TATATATATATATATATATATATAGGGGGAATGGTGCCATGTCTGCCATTATAATATAATGAAACCACACGTCTAGAAAACCATGTTTTTTGCATTTTGTATGACCCCAAAACATGCACAAACCTTCTCTTCATCCTAAGTAATCAATCCCAAAAAAAAAAAAAAATTCATTTTGCACCCTAGATACGGTCAAAATGAGTCCCCTCCAATAACGAATCTAGACCATTCATTTGGTGAATTTCAAGATCTAGGCCTTTACAAAGTCATTTTTTTTTTCTTTTTTAACATTGTTCATCTAAAGAAATTGGCAACGAGAAAATCCTTTTAAGGCCTAGATCTAAGCATCTTATCAAAATGGACGGCCTATGTTAATTGGGCTAAAGGAACACTTTCTAGGTTGTATTTTCAAATTTTACTTTTTGTTATTGTTCTTTGAAATGAAAAGAGTGTATATTTAGAAATTGGGGTTAAACAAATGCCCCTAACATAGTTTTTAAAGATCATTTCATTTTATTACTATACAATTATATATATTGTTAAACCTATCCTATCTAGGTGGTCCAATTTATAATCAAAATATTTTCCAAAATATTTTTTTAAAGTAAAACATTTATTGCTTCTTCAATATGACTTTTTGTATTAGACTGCACTTTTGATAGTTTTCGTACCTTTCGTAATTAATACAAAATTCATCTACCGAAGGCATTAACTATCAAGGGCTCCTTGACATTAGCTGCATGCTCAAGTTGGTTTGTTTCATAGTTAGGGGATCGTGAATCAATAGAACTTGTGGCTCTCACTTCCACGTATTGTGGTATTTTCAAATATGGTTTTTATATTTCAAATAGTTATTTCCCTTTGAAATGAAGGCTCGGGGGACATCATTCTAGATATGTTTTAGCTATAAGCACAAAACTGAACATTTGAAGGTAGAATAACACACCCAAATATAATTTCCTTAAAAAACATTCATATGGAGGCTTATCAAAAGGACAGCAAATTCTTTAGGTGTGGTTAATTTTAGTTTCATATTAGTTGTTAGGGTTTTATTGTTGCCATATAAGCCACAACAGCAATTCTAAGAGAATAAGGAATGGATTTATTAATTACAATTTCTTGCCAAATAGTTTGTAGTTTGATATTGTAAAATGCATTGATGATGCAACCACTAATGTGTTTTTCCTTGTCTTTTGACTAGAAACATCCTGTTTTCTTAAACATGCCTTCTGAATACTATGTCTTTTGTTTCCCTGGGTAGCAGGGAGATTCAACCTTGGGATGTTGTGTTGTGCCCTTCAACCCCCTAACAACCAAGCCTAAGCTCCATATCCCCAGAAATTTTACTAGCATATGGTGAAAATTCTTCACATTTCTTGATGAGATTATTTATACAATCTTAACCATCTTCACCTTTCTCATGAGTTTTTAGCTGTAATAATCTAATTCACACAGTATTTTAAAAGAACCCATCGTTGCCACTTTATTGATTTGTTTAGTATTCTAAAGTTTCTTGCGGCTTCTTATTTCATCTTTAGCTTACATTTAATTAAAAGTGGGAGGTTTGGAAACTTTCTTAAATACCTAATAGTTTGTAAAATCTCAACATTGCTGACTTGAAATGCATGAAAAAATATAATGGCACTGTTTTGGTATAGATGAGAATTTTCATTGTGCCATTTTGTGCATCTTGTAAATTTTCCAATCATCCTTTTGCAAACCCCCTCGCTCTTTCATACACACACACATACACGGACACAAAAAGTGACTTGTAGCCATATCAGATGTGCCAATGTGCATCTTGCTATCTTTTTACATGGTTAGCATTATTTGACAAGTTAGTTTTGCAACTGAGCAGGGATCAAATTTTGAGGGAGTTGCTTATGACCTGCGGCCTTGTAGCTGGAGCACCGTGCTCCAGAGGAAATTTCAAAGGTCTCAGCAACTTATTCGATATGATCAATTCCCTGTGCGGGCAACAGGAATTTTTGTCACTCTCGGAATTCTAGGTATGTTCCTCCTATTTTTTTATTAGGAAAATGTACTATCAATTATAATCCAATTGTCTAAAGTGATGAGCCATAGTGGTAATTTTGTTAAGTGAAATTGATTGATGGTGGCAAGGGAGTGGGGTCTGCTGTTGGGCTCATGTTCTGTCACGGTGGGTCCCAATCTCTTTTTCATTGCCACTCTCATTTGATTGGATCATATGTATGACGAACCCAGTGGGCCATCAGTATGCTATTTTCATTAGATTATAGGATACCGACACTTGTTCTTTGGGTTCTGTTTTTCAAGTAGATTTCCTCAATTGTTACTCGTAAGTGTACATCGCATGTAATTTAGAATGAAATGGCTTATGTCTAAACTACTTTGGTTCAGGTCTTTTTGTTTTCCAAGTGGCCTAAGGAAAACTGCAAGTTCATTGGATTTGAAGCTTGTGCAGCCGCCCTTGCCAAATATTCTACTCTTATGGCAAGATCAGCATAGAAGTGAAAATTGGTATTTTGTTTTGACAAGAAAAAAGAGAAAAATTTGTTTGACCTTCTTTTGTTTCTTTTTCTATTGTTGGGAGTGAAATTTTCTCCCTCCCTGTAATTGCTGTTCTGGTGCTGTTACAGTGGCTCTGCTGTGTTGTATCTATATGTATATGCAGCTGATTACGCATATGTGGGTTTTAGCTGCTGCTTTTTTTCTTTTTTTCTTTTTCCATTATGTTCAATTTTCTAGGATTTGTGAGCTGCTTTGTTAGACGGAAAGACACTCTTTGTAACTTCTCGAATCAAGATGAAGTGGGAATGGAAAAGGAGAATCAAAATGTGAACGACTGATAATGAACGATCTCTCTCTCCCTCTCTCCTCCCCAACCCCAAACCCCCCCCAACACACACAATTATAAAAATGAACACGGTAATGGGAAGATGAAAGGATCTGGTGTTTGGTGCAAAGAAGTACCCCTCGTTCTCTATCGTCCCTTTACTCTCTAGGTGGACAACAGGTTAAACTGCTGTATATAGTTAGCATATTAGCCGATCCCAATTAATTGGGAAAAGGTTACGATGATGATGATGATTATTGATTGCATTTTTTGACCAAATTTGTATTACATAGCTATTTATTACGGTAGGAATTTAAAAGTTCGAAATTTATGCAATTTACTGATTAGAAGGCTGCGAATGATATCGATTTTATTGTCATTCCCATATGCATGAATTTGCGTAGGCATGTAAATTGGATATACATATTGTATGGTATCAAATACATCATTTTGGTCCTAGCTGCATATTAGAATTAAGGGATTTATGATCTAGATCACCTATATCTATGGGAATCGATTGAGATCGATCCAGTTATAGGATGGGATGTAACTCCTCAAGAATTTACAATACAGATATTCCTGAGATGTGACAGTCAAAACATATGTACATCTCTTGATAGGATAAATTTACTGTGGCGAGATCTTACAAAGTAACAAAAGAAAGCTAGCAGAACAACAATATCTTCCAAAGTTGATCCTGACGAACACTGAAAATGAAACCGCAGTTCTCCTGAAAAAAATTGTTTACCATAGTTTGATGAGTTTGGCTACTCAGTAAGCGATCATCATAATCCTAAAAATAACCATAATTGAAAGATATCAATATTTTCATAAAGGAGATCTATTAACAGAAACACATTAACGGTTTTACTTTCATAAATGCATAATTAAGTATAATCCGAATAATTGAAATGTATAAAACATTTTAATGGCAGTGCATAATTCAAAAGATTTCACAAAATAGCCTACTGGCGCCCCAAGTAGGTTACCTATATACCCCATCAACGTCCTGATGGGTCCACTTAATCTCTATCGGCGTCTCAGATAGGTCCACTTAATCCCTGTAGGTCCACTTATACTTCACCGGCGTACCGGATGAGTCCACTTAATCCCTACGGGCGTACCGGATAGGTCCACTTATATCTCACCGGCGATATTCGAAGCAGCAATATCATGTACTCAACATATCACTGAAATTATTAGTATGAATTTCACTGAAACCATTAATAGCAGTCACTTTCAATAACATTTCCAATATAACCAGTCAATATTTTGGGCTCAAATTTAGAAAGGTAGCAGTTCGTAAAGACATTCTAGCATGATTGCCAATCTAATATGTATAGAAAAACTCTTATAGAAATCCAAGAATACGGAATCATCACAATTTATGAGATGTCAATCCGCAAATAAATATTTCACAGACAATGCTATAACCAATCGCAGAAATATCAGTTTTCAAATAATAAGGCAGTCATTTGCACATGAAATTTACGATGTCTAAATATTAAAAAACAGTAGAAAGAAATCTCACAATTTTACTAAAAGCAGAAATATCATATTTATTTCTAATAATTTTACAGTATTTAAAATTTTCTAACAATAGACTAGAAAAATAAATAAATTTATTTCTAAGAATTTACAGCATTTAAAATTTCTAACATAGATACAATATCACAATTTTATTAAAAAGATTATTTTTCAAAATAAAGAGGTCGCTTGTGCATAAAATTTATCGCGTCTAAAATTCATGATAATAAGCAAAAATAATTATTTTATTTCATTTTTTAAAAAAAAACGGATTATTTTTCAAGATAATGAAGTCACTTACTTTAACTCCAAAATTAGGGGAGCATAAGTTCCATCCCACACAAAATATCGGTACTTTCTTTAGAGACTCGATGTGAATGAAGGATCTTTCCAGGAAAAAAAAACATATAAAATCAACTTAACCGAGATTATGATTTACACGAGCAAATGAAAGTAGTATATACAAAAGTTACCTTGCATACTAAATTGAGTACCTCTTTCTTTCTCACATCGCTGATCTTCTAAATTGACAACCTCTTAATTTTTCACATCCCCGATCTTCTTTAAAGGAAGCACACAAGTATCATTACCTAAAGCTAAACTAAACAGTAACCACGCTAGAGAGAGAGAGAGAGAAAACAAACCCGTTGATGGGGTTTTTGTTTGCAAGAGAAAAAAAAACCTGCTGATGCTTTAAGAGAAAGAGAGAGAGAGAAAAAGACGAATAAAAAGGAAACACCTCAACGCAAGGCGTTGTACAAGGAGTTTAACATAAAGTTTTAAGATGGTGGACCTAAGGTCCACCCTAATAAAGTTAAACCCTCAAGTATATTAACAATAATATCGCTTATTTATTGTTAATATAAAACCAACAATATCCTAACGGTATAAAATTATTATTATAATTATTATCATTACTAATATATAATTATTATTTTGTTTATTTATTTTATATTAGCACCATTAATATTATTAATATTATTTTATTTATTTATTTATTTATTATTTTATTTTTTTTTGAAATTTTAGGATTGTTACATTCTTCCCCCCCTAAAGAAATTTAGTCTTCTAAATTTGTGTACCTGGTTACTGAAAAAGATATGGATATTTTTCTTTGATATCGTCTTATCGTTCCCAAGTCGACTCCTCTTTTGAATGGTATTGCCATAATATACGGACTAAAAGAATCTCCTTGTTGCACAATACTTGTACCCTTCTATCCAGTATCAAAATTGGCTGCTCAGTGAAAGATAGGTCCTTCCTGATTGGTAAAGGTTTATATTTCAAAATATGGGATGGGTCGGGCTGATATTTTCGTAGTGATGATATATGGAAGACATTATGGACGTTTGCCAATTCTGGTGGTAAGACAAGTTTATAAGTGACACTTCCGATTCTTTCCAGGATTTCAAATGGTCCGATGTAACGTGGGCTTAGCTTTCCTTTCTTGCCGAATCTCATAATGCCCTTTATTAGTGAGATTTTTAAGAAAACTCGATCACCTTCTTCAAATTCAAGATCTCTCATTCGGTTATCGGCATAACTCTTTTGCCGACTCTGAGCTGTCTTGAGCCTTTCTCGAATTAATGCTATCTTATCCGTGGTTACCTGGACAATTTCTGGCCCCAAAAGCTTTCTTTCACCAACCTCGTCCCAACAGATGGGCGACCTGCATTTCCTTCCAAACAGGGCTTCATATGGTGCCATCTGGATATTGGCTTGGAAGATATTATTATAAACAAACTCAATCAGGGGTAATGGTCATCCCAGCTTCCTGTAAAGTCAATGATACAGGGATTCAGTATATCTTCCAAAGTTTGGATGGTCCTTTTCGATTGTCCATCAGTTTGGGGGTGAAAGGCAGTGCTAAAGGTGAGTCTCGTCCCCATGGCTAATTGTAGCCTAGCCCAAAATTTAGAAGTAAATCGAGTATCCCTGTCCGATACAATAATGACCGGAACTCTATGCAACCGCACTATTTCCTTAATGTACAACTGGGCCAGTCGATCCAAAGTGTACGTCGTGCGAATCAGCAAAAAGTGGGCAGCTTTGGTCAGCTGGTCCACAATGACTGAAATGCTATCATGTCCTGAATTTGTCCTAGGCAAGCTAGAGACAAAATCCATAGAGATGTGCTCTCATTTCCATTATGGCATGGATAAAGGCTGCAACAACCCAGCGGCCCTTTGATGCTCAGCTTTTACTTGCTGACATGTTAGGCACTTAAACACAAATAACGCTACCTCTTTTTTCATATTATTTTACCAAAAGGTTTTCTTCAGGTCCTGATACATTTTAACAGTTTCGGGATGTATCGTATAACGAGAGTGATGTGC